AATATATCAAATGATAGAATGCTGGATAAAACAAACACAAAAGCAAAACAAAATTATTATTTTGGTGAATTATCTGTTTCCATGTCGATCTCATTTTCACAGAAGTTCACCTGTGAACTCAAATCACTCAGTCGACCTTATAAGCTGAAAGAAACCTTATTGAATAGAAAGCTCGGGCGTTTTATTCCAATCTTTGACGTCATTTTCTTACTTCTTCGAGCCTTCAATTCAACTTTGCTCACTTTCAATCTCCGACATCTCTCCACCCAGCTCGACTGCACTCGACGACAGACGAGCCAAAACCAACCTCTCCGTCTCTCTTGTAGCGCCGCGACCCGTAACGGTCGCTGCGGGTGCCCACGCACGTGACGGTACGCACAGCGACGACAACGTGCCGACCGATCGCGGCCTCACCCGTCTGCCTCTTTCGTCTGCCACTTTTTCAGCATAACTACGCGTTCTGTATAGATAAATCTGTCTGGTCATAATCGACCCTTGGTCCGCACACGATTATCACGGTTGCTTCTTTCAACCCAAAATCATGTGAATTTCAAAGTTCCTCATAGCTTAGTAAGCTCTATTTCAAATTTTAACCGATAAAAATTATTTCAACCATTTTCTATTGTCTTTCTAAGGATCCAATTCCAAATGGACTAGATCAGATTTCCCATCAGTAAACAAAATTACTCTGATCTAATTTCGCTACTCAGATTCACTCCAATTTCAATATAAAAAAAATACGTGTGTGTGTGTTTTCCAAACTCTCTTCTCCGTCACAGATCTTATAAAGGAAATCTAGGTAAATAGCAGGGCACCGGACCATATGTGTCAGCAATATTCTAAGCATGGACGTATAGCTATGTAAGATAGATTCTGGAGAGAGAAATTGTCTCACACGGCACAATGAACGCCTTTCTTGGCAGCTGACCTAGCAATGAATTCAATATAGTCTTTCCACTTCGTGTCAGCTGAGAACGTTAGTCCGACGTGACGCAATGAGTCACTTTCCTGGAGGTTAGCATCAGCCATGCTGATGGAAGGCAGAGAGATGATTAATGGAGAAAAGTTTAGTTTTGGAGGCGTTAACAAGGCATCTTTTTGTTCCTGTTGACGACAGACTGGAGTTTTTTTTTGGACATCAGCTTCCATTTTGTCCTTGCCATACAAATCAAACTTACGATCGAGGCAGAAGTAAATGGTTGTCTCGTCAGCGTAGACACCAAGTTGAGAGCTGATGTCATCAGGAAGCTCATTAATGAAAATTAAAAACAAAATAGGACCAAGGATGGTGCTCTAGGGGACACCCGCGTTAGTATGAAAGGATCTAGACGAGTGGCCGTCCAGGATAACTTTCTTTTCGCGATTTGATAGAAAAGATTAGATTAGTTCAAAAATATGTACGAGACACGGTAATTTTTCAGCTTGTGAAGAAGACCTGTATGCCAAACCCTGTCATAGACATTCGTCCACTGCTACAGCCTGGGCTTCGCTGATTTTATCTAGAGCATGATACACACTTCCTGCAATTATCGTCAGTGCATAAGCAGCTGACCTGGAGAAACGAAAGCCATATTGCTTTTCTAAGAAAAGGTCCTGCGATGTTAATTGCAGATTCAGGTTTATTAATCGAATACAACTCGAATTAATCCAAATGTAAATCGTTAAAATTATAACCTTCCATATTTAACAGCAATAGCAATTTACGGGATAATCAATTTATATAAAGGGCCACTGAAAAGTTCTATTTCCCAAAATATGATTAATTTCTTTTTTGAATTCCATCTTGGTTGGGCCTAAAATTTTTCAGCCCTATCTCATTTTATTTAAAATATCATTTAACGTTTTAATTTTTTAAACGAACTTCTACTTAGGTAGCTTTTTTCTTAGAACAGTCGCTTTGTTGAAGAAACTTCAGAAAGGATGCTGCCCGGATCACTACAATCTTAACCGAAAAAGAATAATTTTTATTGACATAATAACAAAGTAATAACAAAATATTTTGTTGGATTTTTTAAACAATGCAGAAATGCCAAGTTTAAAACAAATATGGCGATTATGTATTATTTTAAATAGCATGACAAACAAGGTTCGCTTCCGGTTCGTCTAATGTGACTTTGTACCTTATAACGGAATCAGTCATTTTTGTAGTAGCAAAATAGGAAATAACTATTCGTTACAAATATCCATGTAACTAATTAATGCACAAATATAACTGAGCATTAAAATTGCGGTGAAGAAGTACAGGGAAAATTCACTGTTGAAATCAGTGTATAGAATCAATTCTAAATGGCATGTCCTTCACGACGAAGGCGATGATGGCTCTCCATGGTTTCTGTTTCTTTATTAGCTGTCAATTATTATGACTTTTTGGGAAAGATAGTTGAATGTTTTACCATTAAAATTTAGACGGTGTTTTTTTTTGTTTTGTTTTTAAATCGGATTTATCTTTCTCTTAGACTGGTAAAGAGAGTTATTTAACCGACAGCTGAAGAGGGAAGTGATGGGTTCATGCTTTCCCCAAAAGCATTAGTGCGAAAGTGAATGCAAATCAGAAATTTAACCGATTTTTCGCAACGATAAGCGTTACATTACTCAAATGAAAAACAAACAGTTGTCTGGGTTAGAAAGATACAATTATCAAATCACTATACATGACTTCAAAATAGAGATTTATACTCTATAATAACGAACGCATGCACGAATACATTTTATTTTGAGGGATTACTAAATGAAAACTCAAAGGAAATTTATAGGCCATAGGCACCTACACACATCTTCTTTTATGTGTCGTCTTCCTTTAGGACGTAGGCGATCATGGCTCTCCAACTCTTCCTGTCCCTTGTAGCTCTCAATAAGTTTTGTCTTTTTGTTATTTCTCCCAGACCCTGTTCTGCCATCCATTTGCTTAAGCCTGTTAAATATTTCACGCGTTGCTTTCCTTTGTCCCTCTTTTCCTCTACTCTACTCGCCCTGTGAGTATCAGATTCTCCAGGCCCTCTTTTCTTATTACGTGTCCCAGAAACTTCAGCTGGCTTTCCCAAAGTTTCTCCTTTGTTTGCCTCCTCTCCAAAACCTCATCGTTGTTCACATGTTCGGTACATGGTATCTTTAGCATCCTTGAAATGCATTCTGGGATACTATCAATTATCCGAAAGAATTCTGAAAGGAAAACTTTTCAACATAGCTATCACAATATTGTACGCATCGCCAGCACAAAATAAAGAAATCGAATCTTTTTAGACAACACCAAGGCTCATTGCAAATCACAAGATGTCATAATTATCATGGGAGACTCGAACGCCAAAGTAGGTAGGGGGGCAGTGGAGATAGGTGAGAGAAATTTGAATTAGGAATGCGCAACGAATGCGGAGAATAATGGCTCCAATGGTGCACATAAACACAAGCATATTCAAAAGCAGATAAACATATAAAAAATTGACAAACTAATAAGAACCATATCTATTCAGTAGAAAGGATCAAAACACGAACACACACACACACACACACACACATATATATATATATATATTTTTTTATACATAAGAGTGATTCCATGAATATTACTGTTAAAAGTTTGAAGAAGTTCCTTCGAAGAACAAATACGTCACTAAGAACTTTTTCCATGCACTTATCCGAGTACACACAGACACACACACCCAGAAATATATATATATATATATATATATATATATATATATATATATATATACACACACACACACACACACACACATATATATATATATATATATATATATATATATATATATATATGTATATAGTGATCAATATCAGTGATAGAACTAACATATTCTGTTGCAGGGATAGTATTTTGAACACCGTGTTTCACGCTTTTGCGATCGCAAAAGTGTGAAGACAGTTACAAACTTATCCATGCATATATATATATATATATATATATATATATGAAGAAATATAGTCTTAAGGTGTGCTATATTTATGGGATAAAGTGCTCAATATCAGAGATAGAGCGTGTGTAAATAAAAGTGAACATTGAAGGTTAGAGGCTATTTCATGCTGTCGCCTCTAAGTGTTGACTTCAATGTTCACTTTATATATATATATATATATATATATATATATATATATATATATATATATATATATATATATATATATATCGAAAGAATGAGACATAAATTAATATTCATAAAGATAACTAGATAGTTCGGGCTGTGGAAAATTTTTTTAGCTACATTAACAAATGTACATATTCGGATACGGTATAGCAGACACATAAATGACTTATTTGAATAATAGAAAGACTGATCAATCGATAGATACACCAATATATGGGTTTGATTGATGTGCCAATAGTTTAATTGATTGATAGATGAGGAGCACACGAGTTTTACAGATATAAACTTTGGAAGAAAAAAAGAGGAGGAAAATATTTCGACGAACATAAGCTATTTTTCACGCATTATTGATTAGACGGTGAAATGATTGTTTATATGGACCGTGAATAAAAGGACTATTGCTTTCTTTTTCTTTTGCTTATATTTGAAAAGGCTACGGTAAAAAAGGTATTAAAATACACAGGGGCATGAAGCAGTGGCACACACAATTTGTATATTCTTTTTCTTAAGTGCGTATATATATATATATATATATATATATATATATAGATAGATAGATAGATAGTAATGATATAATATGGTAATCCGTATGGAATTTCCTGCAGGATATAGATCCAGGGAGAGCTCTATGTCAAAAGATAGAGCAAAATTATTATTAATTAAAGATTTTCAAACACTTAAAATCCAGTGTTAAGATGAAAATTGAGAACTGCGTTTTTTAGAGGTCTCATGAAATAAAAATTATCACTTATGGGATTTTAAATGTTTGATATTCTTTAAGAAGATACATTTGATATTCTTTAATTAAAAAATATATATATATATGTCTGTGTGTGTGTGTGTGACTGTTTAAATAGAGAAAGAGAGAGGCATAGGAATAAAGGAATATTAAATATATATTTAAAGAGAGAGAGAGAGAGAGACAGACAGACAGACAGACAGAGACAGACAGAGAAAGGAAAAAGTGACTTTGGAGAAGACGAATGAGATTGTGACATACTAAAATAAATTAGTACAAATTTGTTAAGATTGAAAGGAGAGGTAAATGAATAATATGTGTATGATAGGAAAAGAGAGGAAAAGATGATCGGGGAGAATATGGGATAGACGGAGAGAGTGTAAGAAAATGAGTCATTAAGCAAATATGGAGAAAAGGAAAGGAAGGAAAAAAGATTGAATGAAAAAAGAAAGATAAAATAGAATGTAAAGTAATGATTAAAATAACGGATTATAACAATGTGATGAAATTAACGATAAAACGAGAGGAAGAAAGAGATGGATGATGAACTGACGGAACACAGTAAGGGGTAGAGAGTGAAAAAAAAGAGGAGAAAGGGAATGAACAAAAGAAAGGGATAGGGGTATTAGAATGAACTGGTAGAACTCAGAGAGGTAGAAAGAATCAGGAGAGGGGAGAAATAAGAAGAAAAAAGAGAAATGAGAAAATGAGGATGAAAGTGAGAGAGAGAGAGAGAGAGAGACTAAGATAATTCCGTCCTGGGTAAGACAATAAACTACATCCGCATCCTGGGTAAGATGATAAACTACGTCCAACAGCAAGACCTCTGATCAGAGGTTTTGAGGAGCTTGACCCGGGATGGTAGCACCTGTTAACCCCCAAACTTGAGTCAAAACACTATGAAAGTGTAAAAATAGGTTTTAATATCAGAAATAATTTGTAAAAAACATTATTACTAGAAATACATTTTTGAAGGAAAAAAATTATTACCAGCAATACATTTTTGAAAAAAATATTAACAGCAATAAAAATTTTGTCGGCATTAAATAACCCATATATGAAAAAAATGAATGTAAAAATTTTAAATATAAAATTTTTTTTTTATTAAATACAAAAATTTTGTCGGCATTAAATAACCCATTGAGGTTGATATACCGTAAAACAAAACAAACCAATCAAACTAAGATAATTTGGAGAAGGAGGGGATTGGGAACGTTCTAAAGACAAATAGGATAGGGAGAGAACAAGTAGAAAAGAAGAGAAATTAAAAAGTGCGACTGAAAATAGACAGCAATTGAAAAGGGAACTAGAGAGAGAGAGAGAGAGGAGAGAGAGAGAGAGGAGAGAGGGGGAGGAAGAGAGCAGAAAAAATATAAAAATGAACGAAAAAGAAGAAAATAAAGAAAGCTTGATAAAATGAACAAGAAGAGGCGGGGAGAGAGTAATTGCCTAAAATGACATTGATTCAATCGTCATTCATAAAACCATGTCTGAGAAGAATATGTTGGCCAGGAAACAGGTTCGAGCCTTAACAATGCAATCTTAAGATATTTCCTAAGAAAGGAACGAAACAGTAAAGACAGAAGAAATACGTGGTGTGTGATTGGGTTACAATTCCAAAATATCTTTTGTATTAAATACAATTGAAATGAACTAATATTTTTATGTATTTTCCTCTCACATGATTTATACACTGGCATACATATCGCCTGGCCAAGTGGTTAGAACGTTCGTTTTTCGACAATGAAACCCGAGTTCGAATCTGACCACTGACTTCGTGATGTTACCAGTCTGGGGAGACGATTCCAATGTGCGGAATTGAAAAGGACCATAGACTAATTAAAAAAGAAACCCCAAAGATGGTCGTAACATCTCATTGCTTCCTGACAAAATCTAGAAACAGAACTGATATCAGGACAAATGTTGACCTCCGAATGTCATTGCCTAATTTTGAGTCTAATATTTGCTGGAAGCAAGAAAGCTTTATAATTGACAAAGCAAGAAAGCTATATAATTGACAGATGTTTGCAAGAAAGCTTTATAATTGACAGAGAAAGCAAGAAAGCTATATAATTGACAGATGTTCGCAAGAAAGCTTTATAATTGACTTAAAACGTCTGTGGTCAAGTCCAGTATAGAATAATGTGAGATCCAAACTCTAATATTGGATTACAAATCTCGCTTCTTATCCAGCGCTATACAGCCTCATCTAAAATATTGCTAGTTCTACGATTAAAAACTTTTCTAAATCACTTAATAATAATAGGTATAGACATGATCTAGTTATAGCAAAATCATGGGCATGTTAATTCTGGAAATAAACAATAAGCAAGTTTCAAATTCGAGTCAGCCAAACTTTATACAACTTTTGAGCAACTGCATTGGAATCTGGTAGCAAAATCTTCTTCCGATTTTGTTTTGATCTAATAATTACTTTGATTACCACTACTATATGACTGCGGATGCAAGAACGGATGACTAAGAGGCCTTATTCATTTATCTTTCTTTTATGTGCCATGTCTTTTAAGGATGTGGACAATCATAGTTCTTCAAATGTTCCTTCTGTTTCTCTAATTAACCTTCGAGACTTACTCATCCCTTTTATACTTGTTCTGCTCTCCATTCACAGAAAAAAACGTTCAATAGGTTACTTGTTGTTTCACTTGCATCTCTTACATTCAGTATATCCTCTGGGTGCTAAATTTTCTTAGCCATCAATTCTCATTATGTATTCCTGATATTTCAATTGCCTCTTCGTGATTGTTGACAGAAATGTCCTTGTATTTTTTGTTTTCCTTAAAACGTTTCCGTTGCTAATATGTTCTTTCCATGTTCTGTCTTAAAACCAAATCTCTGTCTGTTCAAATCTATTTGATTATCTGTGAGAACCTTGTTCAGCATTCACCATTATACATCAGATTAGATATTACATAACCATTTTCTCTTTCTAAGCCAATTAGCATATCCCTTAATACTTTATTTAATTTCAAGAAGGTATATTTCGCTATTTCTAATCATCTTCTGATGCCTGTGTTACATTTCCCGTTGCCTGTGACTATGCTATTCATGAAGTGTCGTACTTGCATTGATTTTGACGTCACCAAAATTTAGCAGACAATTTGGACTTCAGTGTCTGTCTATATTTCTGAGATGAGGTATTATGTACACTATTTACATTATTGTCCTCATCCTTGTCGCCATATTTATTACAACGTTTCGTCCGTTGTACTCTCCGGCCTTCTTCAGGTGGTTGAAATGACGAACTGGACCCTTTATTTCGATCACTGGGGTAGACTGTTCTAGTTCCACGTGCCATGTTTAATGGAAGTCAGTTATCTCCTGTTAATTCTCCTCTCCACTTTATCCACTGTACGTTAGTTAGATCCAGTGACAGGACCCAAAGAGTGTGAATTCAATACCCGGTTAAGGCGGTGGAGAACTTGGAGAGGGGAATTAGCAGGAGATAACTGATAACTGACATCCATGAAACATGGCACGTGGAACTAGAACAGTCTACCCCAGTGAACGAAATAAAGGGTTCAGTTCGACATTCCAATCACCTGAAGAAGGTCGGAGCGTACAACAACCGAAACGTTGTAATAAATATGGCGACAAGGATGAGGACAATAGTTCGAATAATGTAAGTAGTGAACTTGGACTTTCTCTTTTGCTGACAACCATTCACACTGCCTTCTGACAGTTAATACATTATTTTTGCTTTCCTTTGCTACCCTTGTGTTTACTACTTATTTCTTCAGTTTTCGTTGGGTCTGCCATCAACACAGTGTCACCTTCGTATCTTATGTTAAGGTTATATCAGCCAATAATAAATCCTGGTAGGTTTTCGAATTTGTTTAGGATCTTCTCATTCTAAAGGTTAAATAAACCCCGTGAGAAAATCCAGCCTTGTCTTAATCCTCTTTCTGTTTTTATTTTATCTTTTTTATTCTTTTATTATTTAATTTTAAAAAATTCTTTCTTTAAATTATTTTTCACTGAACTCATTCTCGATCCACATGTAGACTGTTAAATTCCTACAGATTATTCGAAAAGTTTTCCTTTGTAATCAGGCTTTTCTATTATTTCAAGTAGATTTTTGTGTCGTTGCTTATAAAAATGCTTTTGGACAGTCTATGAAATAAACGTATTAGTCTTTGTGTTTTTGTATTTATTGCTCTGCTTGTATCCCGATCGTAAAAATGGCATGTTTAGTATCCTAATGATAAGTTAATGTGGTTCATGAAAGCGATTGCATGTCGGGTTCGTATTGATCAGCACTTCGTTTCTTTGGCAACAACATCTATCTACTAAGGTATTCCATTATTTTGATAGTATCATATAATTGATTTATAATTTCATTAATGAAATCATCTAAAGCTGACAGCAATCGTACTGCCTTGTTTCTGGTCATCTTTACGAGTGTATATTTTATCCGATATTTTGATACTACGAGCCTTTTCATGTGTTGATCTTTTGTAGGTTTCTCACCTATGTTACCATGGAAGAGCTCGCCAAAGTATTCGTTCCAGTCGAATCATTTACATTCACTTATATGCTAATATCCTTGGGATCGGTGTGAATCCTCTTCTTCTCCAACAAGGACAGACTGGTTTCTATAGCCTTGGGTGGCAACTGGTCTAGGAGAAGGACAACTCTGAATTCAAAACCGGCGAAGGTTCGTTTGGGGACCTTGTGACCAGATCTCAGTATTCGGCCCTTCAAAATCTGTGGATAGTCGTGCACAAAACATTCACCACTATAATCAAATCTCATGTGCTGGTGTCGGGCTGTCGATTCCTAGGAACTGATTTGCTTGACCCTCATACGTCGAATTCGGCGGGAGAGCCGAATACATACATACATACATACATACATACATATATATATATATATATATATATATATATATATATATATATATTGTATATTTAGGCAGAAATCTTTCATTTATGCACATTTCATTAAAAACGACAGACAAGACTACGATTAAGCTTTTTATTTAATTTTTCTTGTGTTCGAACAAATGTTTTCTTTTTTGGACACAGAGTGTGTAGAAACTATTCAAATGTTTTATAATTCCGATCGCTTTCGGCTATACTTTTAGTCATTATCAAAGATGATTTTATTTTTTCAGTTTAATTAAACATAATGTTTAATTAAATACACACGCAAACTTACCAGACTCCGTCCGAAACATACTACTAGAAAACACAAGCATAATAACCTCATCCACCTGTAAAAAAAAGATTAAAAATAATGGAAGCCCTAATAATAAAAAAAAAAAAGCCAACACTTAACAATATTAGCTACGAACACGGCCAAAATGTGCTAACTGTGTTCGAAAATAAAACATCTATATAACATTAAAAACATACATACAAGGCACACACTCTGAAAAAATAAAATCACCCTTTATACAGCGCTCGGAATTAGAGAACATTTGAACAGTTATTACACACTCTGTGTCCCAAAAAGAAAGCACTTGTTCGGACACAAGAAGAATTAAATAAAAAGATTAATCGTAATACCTTGTCTGTCGTTTTTAATGAAACATGCATATACATACATACTATACACACACACACACACACATATATATGTATATATATATATATATATATATATATATATATATATATATATATATATATATATTCTTTTTTCTGTTATGAATATTCCAAAAAAATAATGTAGTATTATATCAAACTTGTTTGAGGAAACCACAAGTGGTTTTCATAATGGTGGTTTTTGCCATAACTAAGAGAACACAAGAATCAAATTAACAAATCCCGATAACGAAATAAAGCATAGTAACATTATTTGGCAATCGACGACTGAATAAAACAACTATAAAAAGACAAACTATAAATGCATTTAGCATATTTGCAGACACACTATTTGGAAAAAGAAATACTATCAAAGCAAACAAGAAATGTAAGATAGGTTCAAGGAGAATTATAAAACTTGATTTTTTTAAAATTAGTTTTACATAATAATTATTAGAGTGAATAATAATACACATAGGTCGCTATTTGAGTCGAGCATAGTGAAATTACAGAAGGCTGAGATATGAAAGAATTGATGAATATGGAGGTGATAATAGTATTTATAATTATTGTATCTCTTAGAATGACTAAGATGACCTTTGAAAAAATAAAGTAGGAAAATATCAATGGAAAAATTGGAATTGTAGAGAAAGCAGCATTGTCGAAATTGGTAAGTACTGTACAATGAGGGAGCGCCTTACTTGATTTCTATCGAGAAGCACCAGAGATGTCAAAATATTCACCAATTAAGTTTTCGTTATTGAAAATCTAAATTAAAGTCAAATTTACAAGAAATTTGTTTTGTTTACAGTTTAGTTAAAAGAAGTTAAATTCAACTGAAGATGCACAATGATAGAACTACTACTACCAGAAAGTTGTTAAGAACACTGAAGAATGCACTAG